TAATATTAAGCCAATAAATTCCACATTGTTGGCTACAATTCTGTAGCCCCGGACAATTCTACCTCAATAATATAATACATTAACCGTGCTTTATGTGAACCTCATCAAGACACTAGAGAGGACGGCAGAACTGTAATTTCCAGTGTTCAGTGAATGCATCAGAGGCAAGACACCAGACCAATCAGAGAGTTGCATGGAAATAAAAGTGTGCTTGTGTCATTCAAGCTCGGCTCTGTGTGTGTGTGTGTGTGAGAGAGAGAGAGAGAGAGAGAGAGAGAGAGAGAGAGAGAGAGAGAGAGAGAGGAGAGATAGAGAGAGAGAGAGAGAGAGAGAGAGAGAGAGAGAGAGAGAGAGAGAGAGAGAGAGATGCCAGCAGCAGGGACCGTGTTGTTAGCATCTGATTAGCTAGCTGCACTAACGGACACAAGGAGCTGTTTGTTCCACAACAAGCTGGAGGAGAGGACTCTCCTCTCAGACTGAGAGACTCAGGTGAGCTAAAGGACTCTCTGAGTGTTTAGATAGTTAACTTTAGTCTAAGTTATCTCAGTGGGTCTCAAACGGTTTGGTCACAAATTATTCAAAAGATTATTTCCGCGGCACACCTTCATATGATCATTATAGTTATAAAAAAAATAAGAGAATAAAGGAAAAACAGTTATGAAATACTATATGGCAGTAAAACAAGAATACAGTTTGAAAGGGGAGTGATTTGTAAAATATCCATAAAGAAAAAGAACATCTGCTTACAGTTGTGTTTCATCTGGGTGTTGAGAAATGTATCCATAGATCTCTTAATGTTGCTCTCAAAGTGCACCAGATTGATGCGTTTAACTTCAATATTTAAAAAAAATCTTCCCTGGGGAGCATCCCCCCGGACCCCCCTAGAGGAGGTGAGGTCCGCTCCCCACTTGTAAAAAATAGCACTTTACCCCTGCCTATAATTATCGAGCCTTCATTGTAACAGTCGCGGGTGTACTGTGTGTTTGCGTGTGGGGAGTGCTTTTGTGCGTGCTCTATAGTGCCCGTAATAGTGTTCACTGGAGTCCAGCACCTCAGCACCCCCACTCAAAATACCTTCCCGCGCCTCTGCCTGAGGGTAATAGGCAAGGTTGAGATACCACATCTGAAAATCTCTCTATTCCCCATGGAGCTGAACTTTTTTTTCCAGCCTCAAATGCAGACAGAATGTAGATGACTTTTGCTCCCGAGCTCCAGGCTATTAAACCCTGCACAGCAGGTATAACTCCCTGCTGACTCTAATATTGAGAGAGCAGAGGAGGAGATCTGAAGCTTTAGACTGAGGAATAGACAAATGCATATCACTCAATATCATTTAGTCCAATTTAGAAGAATGCTTCTGTTTCTTCTGACCAAACAGTCTCCTTTCCTACTGTGTTGTCTGAGTTCACTGAGTGCAGTGATGAAGTATTTTTGTAGGCCGACCCAGAAGTTAGCATTGCAAGCGCTGCCTCGACAAAAAACAATGTAATTTCCCCATCGTTTTCCCTTATATATTGCAAATAAGCTCTGTGGCCAACACACGTTTATGATACTTAACATGTTTTGTTCAGCAGGATGATCTCCACCTATCAACAATACTTTATGATTTTGAAAGGTAAATGCAATCGGCAAAAGCACAAAAAAAAAATGTGAGTCAACAGGCATGACTGATTTGTGTCTGCGTGATGAAATGTAGAACTTAGTTTAGTCATTTTACTAACACATAAGCTTCAAAAATTCACATGTGGAGTATTTACTGACATATTTCATTTCGTAAACGAAAACGTAAAAAACTCATAAGCTTGTGTTAACCACAGACCTTATTTCAGGCTTCTAACCACAAACACACTGTAAAAACCATTGACATCGAGACGCGGGAGACTTAGAGTTGAGCATTATCAGGGGCACGTGGCTTCAAGGTGGGTTGCCGTCTCTTGTCTCTAGCTGCTCGATGTCTGCTATGCTGCAAGAGGCTCGGTCCGTCTGAACTTCAGTCGATAGCAGTGACGCCTCCAGCTGTGACAAGCTCCTATGGCTCTACACATTACACCACTCGGGATAGAACATATTAAGACAATACAGAATGATGTCACAATCAGTCTCTAGCCTACCGCATAGACAAACAGTTTGCTATGCATTTTTACTAAATGAACGGACAACGGTTTCCTCCGCTAGCTTGCAAAGTGAATGTAGCTACAGCTACTACCATCTGAAAGTGAAAATGAGGCCTTAGTTATGCCCTTGATTATAGTATATGTATAGTGCGTCATCTGAATCAAACCCTTTTACAAACTAAGATGATAACACAACAGCCACAAAACATTGTGCTATAAAATATTTCACCTAAATGATGGTTGTTTTCTGTCCTCACTACAATCAATGTTTCTTTTCTTTATCTCTGAAACCAACATGGCCACTGACAAAATAAGGAAGGATGTCCCATAGAGCAGGGGTTGGGGGGGGCAACAGCGGTAATTCAAGTTTAAAAGTCTCAAAAAAGCTACAACTACTGTAACAAACTGGATGAATGTGAAGTATGTTGTTAAAGGAGGATAAAAGCGTAATTAAGGAGCACTATTGGAGTGACTTTGATGGTTATTGGACTCAGGATTCATTCATTTGGATTCCCGCTGTATGAAGAAATGAAAGGACGGCGCAAGTGGAAACAATTCACAAAGGGATTAAACTGTTTAAAACAAATGCTCAAAGTAAGCCGGATTTTGCCGATGTGTTTATGTGGATTCAAAAGTCGTAAATAATCTACAAAATGGAGGAGACCGATCTGATCGGAGCAGCTGTGACAAATAATCCATTTGGAACCAGCATGGACAATGACTATGTTTTAAAAATGCGCTTATCCAGAAAAGCCTGGTTTGGACACTTTATGGGCAGAAGAAACATTTCTATAGAAAGAATTATACATTTCTGTCTTTTTATGCCTTTAATAGCTACTAACTTGAATTTTTATTAAAATTAATTAATCAATTATTTTGTATATGTTATTGTAATGTAGAGACAAGGCTTTTAGTGACAATCATGTATTGCCTTGCAATTATATGTAAAAAAAAAAAAAATGTAAAAAGAAAAATGTCTAAATATTATATTTGGCCTCAAATCATCTGAGGCCTGGCGCCCCCCCTGCGATCTATGGCGCCCCCCCAAGGGGGGAGCGCCCCCCAGGTTGGGAACCACTGCCATAGAGTAACCTCTACTGTCATTAAGAGACAAATGTAGTGCTGACATATTTCAAAATGGTTCACAGCAGGAGAGACAGGAGAAGTGTCATCTCTGATTCTTAAATCCTATGGTAGGTGTGTCTCCTGCACAGTAGGTTCTGTTCTTAGATACTCAGAGACTCAGCATCAGGGACTCTGAGCCGCCTGACATTTATCAATGTTCCAGTCAGTCCATTGCTCACACTTTTTTGCTGCAAAGGGTAGAAAAAAAGGGAAATGTTCACGATAACCATCGGATGGAGAGAATTGAAGGAAGAAGATCTAGAAGAAAGAACCGATGAACTGAATGAACAGATGGATTAAGGATTATTTATTCTACGCAGAGATACTGTCAGATCACAATATGTGTCTTAAAGGGTATTCTACAGAAATCCAGAGGAATAAGTAGCCTTGTACAAATGGCATTCGTATTTCATGTCATTCGTTTTGAGGTCAAGCAAAGCTTCAAAGACAAATGGAAATGTAATCTGAGAAGCAATTAATCTGTGCTGGTTGAGTAGATTTCTAAGTGGGACATTGTAACAGGCAGAGAGGCGGAAGCATCAGATCCAATAGAGCACACTTTTAAATTAGTTATTTAATGTGCAATGAGTGGCAATAAGCTGGATACAGTAATAGCTGCCCACTGCTCCTCACATTAGGATGGCTTAAATAAAGAGACTCTTTGACTGTGAGCAGCGCTGCGTGCATGTGTGAGATTTCTTTGGATTCTTCCATTTCCACTTCCAATATAATGAGTATCAGAACAGAAAATACAATGTTTGTCATGATACTCTACTCAAAATATATCCAAATGCATTCCTGTGTCAATGCTTTAGTGTTAAATCAAAAAGTTACAAAATAAATTAAATATAGATATGTTTTGCTGCTCTATCTTCAAACTGTGCTTCATCTATCGTAGTATTACACCCACAGAGTTTTCTTTTGAAGATTACAACACTTTTTTGCAATCTAGCAAAGTAATTAATTATGATTGGTATCCAGTATTTGAAATATACACATACAGGCTATTAGTTAACCTTAATGTCTCACACATGCAGTAAAAAACAGAGCATTATTAGCATCAGTTTGGACTTTGTTTGTACACCTGATCAAAAGCAGTCCAACATTCCACCAAGTTCACCAGCGAGTTTCTAACTGTGAGCCTTTTCACTGAAACAGCTGCTGCCTGAAACTAGGTTCACAAAGGAAAGCGGATCAAAACAGTGAAGTAATAATGAGTTGAAGTACGCAGGGGTAACTGCTGGTTTGGTGACAACTCTCTGTTGCTTTGTTACTATCAACAACCCCTTTTCCATTACACGTATTGAGCCATTGTTAACAACACTATTGATTATAACTTCTTCAACTTACTTTGTAGAGAAAAAAGGGTTATTGTGATGCAATGTATTATTTTATTTGTTTATAGAAAAGTTTTAACTTAGAAGGAGTTAAGAAATGGACTGGTGTGAAATATTCCCTTAGGCCTTTTTTATTTTAGATTGAAAACATGAAAGGTTGAAGTATATGAAAATATACTGGTGGATTAATTATGCATGGGAAGCCGTCCTTTTCTAAGCATTAATTTCCCATAACATACATTTGTCCAGATGATGCTATAGGTATAGTAGTCATTGGTCCTGTATCCACCCGTTAGTGTTTAGACATGACCTTAAGGACACGTACAGTGGCAGATGGATGGATGGATGGAATAGTAGCTTAAGGGACACATAAAGATATTTTTTAAAAACATGTAGCAACAGTTTGCTGTTGCCGTGAACTTACCAACCTCTGCAGCCATCACAGTGATGTTATGCCACGCGGTCTCCTCCCGGTCCAGAACCTGAGAAGTCCTGATGATGCCGCTGTTCACCCCGATATTGAAATACAAAGGTCTTTCCTCTTCATTTTCTATGAAGTACCTGCAATACAAAATGACATAAAGAGGAAACAAATCCATAAAAAACATTTGAATATTTTAAATGTTCCTTTCAGAGAGTATTCTGATACAATATACAATGGCCAATGCTGATAAATGTGAATTTTTAGAGCACACTAAGTAAACCAGACCAATGTATTGATGGTGGTTTGAAGTAGTGTATTTTTGAAGTGCAATGCACAAACTAGAAATGTACTTTCCCTAACAAAAGGTTTGACAATACAACAATATATTATAACAAAACACATGTATTATCATACATATACCCTTCACTATATTTGTAAGCCTTTGAAACTACCTGAGAATACTATGAAAGGTTACATTCAATATGTACTGTTATATAGTTGCACCATTTTTTGTTCACTATAGTGATTTTCAAAGAAACTGTCAGAAAATGTATCAAAGAACTATAGAAAGCAAGACATGGAAATCAACAGAAACCTTGATTCCCTCCAGCATATTTTCAGAAGTAAATTCTCAGCTTAGAAAATAATTAGTGTCTGATTTGTTTTTATCAACTCATTAAAAATGGCAGATTGTTCTTCTTCATTGAAAGACTTTGAAAAAGGGCCAACTGTGGAAATCAAAAAGCATACAGGCAGAAAGATCCATTAATTAACTTTATACTTCAACCCTTAAATTAGCAAGTAATCTGTTTCAATGTTGTTACTGCCTGATAGAAATGAATGGATGGATGGATGGATGAATGGATGAATGGCGTGTGACTGGATTGATGAAAAGATAGGAGGGCAGATGTTGTATGGACGAATCAATGAATGGATGTTGGATGGATGGAGTGTGGCTGGGGGGATAAATGGGGGATTGATGGATATATGATGGATAGATGGCTGGATGAATCGATGGCTGTTGAATGGATGGATGGATAGATTGGGATGGATGGATGTTGGATGGATGGATGGATGGATGTTGGATGGATGGATTGGGATGGATGGATGTTGGATGGATGGAGTGTGGCTGGGGGGATAAATGGGGGATTGATGGCTATATGATGGATAGATGGCTGGATGAATCGATGGCTGTTGAATGGATGGATGACACGATGGATGGATGGATGTTGGATGGATGGATTGGGATGGATGGATTGGGATGGATGGATGTTGGATGGATGGATTGGGATGGATGGATGTTGGATGAACAAATCGATGAATGGATGGATGGATTGAGTGGGACAGGGTTGATACATGGGAAATGGATAGATGTTGGATGGATCGATGGGTGGATCGATGGATGAGTTGATGGATAGATGGATGGTCGATGGATGGAGGGTTGATCCAGTGGCTCATCTGGATAGACATTTTGCAAAGCAGTTGAATTCCTCAGTGGATCTGCCAGTTGTCCTGTAGTAAACAACTACACACACACACAGAACATCATTTCCTTTACCGGATAGCGCTGTTGGTGCTATCTGGGTCCACAGCGGTTACAGTGCCAACCTGGGTGCCGACAGCTGAGTTTTCATACGTGTCCATGATGTAGTAGTCCATGGAGAAGACAGGAGGCTCATCCACGTCACCCACAATGACTCGCAGCGTGGTGGAATCCTTAAATGGCCCCAGGTGGGAGAAACGGGCATCTGGATGAGTGTTGGAACCTTCGATGTTGAGTGTGTGAACTTTTCTCTTCTCATAGTTCAAAGGCTGGGGAGGAGACAGAAAGCACAATAAGCTGCATTTCAACGATGATCACCTTAATCCTGACAATGTCATATACTGTTAATGTCATAATAGTTATCCTAGAGTAATGTGACCCACCCCTTTACTCAGGTGAAGTAAATGGGAAGCTAAAATAATTCTTACAACACATGTTGCATTCATACAGGGCCTGCCAGGAAACATTAGAGGAAACGTTGACATCTGTTGAAAGGTTAAATAAACCGAGTTGATTGACTAATAAACAGTAGAAAGACCTTTGGTCGTCAGACAAATTGGGGTGGGGGTTTAGTGTGATAGTCAAAGTGAAATGAGATTCAGTCGCTCTGTTAGGAATGTGACACAATGACTGGGAATCAAATGCTAACAATTTGACACAAAAGTACAAAAACAAAAGTATTTTTTACTATATATAGGAAAAAAAAGAAAAGAAAATCGCTCTTGGCAAAGGCCAACAACACAAGACTATGTAAACGTGACTTTTGGTCCAAACAAAATAGAACGTGCCTCGAAAAAACGCGAAAAAAGACGAATGGAAGACGACGAACTGGTGCAGGAATAAGACAGACCAGGACTATTTATAGGGTGTTAACTGGACACAAGTGGCAACAATCAAGGGTGTGGCAGACAGTCACACTGGCGAGAAAACACTTAATGGCATGGAGTCAAGGGCTCTGAAACGATAAGGAAAAGACTCCTTTTAAATTAACCATTGAATCTGTAAAGAGTGGCTATGAGATATTGTAGATCATCCACCATCAGGGTCGTTGTATCCTCAGACAAGACACTGAACCTTAAATCATTCTTGAAGGAGTGGCACGCACCTTGCAGGGTAGATAGCTGTCATCAGGATGTGAGTGTTTGTGTGTGGGTATGTGTGTGTGTGTGTGTGTGTGTGTGTGTGTGTGTGTGTGTGTGTGGGTATGTGTGTGTGTATGTGTGTGTGTCTGTGTGAGTGTAAATGGGAGATTTAGAGGCAATTTACAGTTCATAGTCTTTGTGTTCATATAGAGTGGTGCAGGAATGAGTCCTTAAACCAGGAAATGAGTTAGCATTTTACCTCAACATTTTTTTGAATGTGTTTGAAGGCCTGAAATACGGTCTGTGGTTAATACAAGCTGAAGAGACTTTCATGTTTTGTTCTACGACATAAAATACGTCAGCACCATTCTATTGGAGTACTACATGTTGTTGTAGTGCATTTTCCATTGACATTTCCAGATGGCTACCCTACAATAACACTATCTCAGCAATAAATGCCTCAGAACACCAATTGATTGTTCATAACAAAAAGGTTGGACACCCCCAGAATACAATGTGTTACAAAATGCTGACAAAAGACAACTTCAAACTGTGGGGGAACAAAGAGCAATAATTATGGACCCCCCTTGTGTAGAGAGCTTTCCTCTGTTCTCGTGTTTCTAAGTGGCTGTAAATGAGAAAAAATGAAAAATGAAAAACACTTTTAACTCTGACCCCAGTAGTGCTCTCTCCTGCTGAGCACAGGCTTCCCTGCTGTAGATCAAAGGCTGCAGCTTGGCTAAAGCTAGGAGTACTGGCCATGCATGCTGGACTTTTTTTAAGGATTATTTGTGCTTGGCTTTTCTGCCTTATTCTGATATATAGATAAAATGACAAGGGTAAGAGAAAGTGGGTGACAAAGGGCCAGGGTCTGATTTGAATCCACGGCTGTAGCAGCAAGGACTCAGTCTTAATGATACACTCTATACCTGGTGAGCTAACAGGGAGCTCTTTTTCCTGAACAGTTCATTATGCAGGTTTCAAAAGATTAAGAAAAAACTTTGAACTGTGAAGGGAATATCATTTTGTGCCGCTTTGCGCCTGATAAAGCTGGTGCTGGTGCCTCTAATGAAAGGGTTCTCAAAATGTCTCTGGGAGACAGCCTGGAACTGAGAAATATAAACCTTGACAGAGAGATACAGCTTCTTTTCTCACTATTATTCAATCAAGAGAGGCAGAATAAAACTAAAACTCCTGATAGTAGTAAAGTTTATTTTGTTATATGAAATGTTGCTATGTGGAGCGCAGGACCTGTGAAAGTGGCGCATGAAGTCAAAAAATGGAACTTCCCAAAATAAAATGACCTGCACCTTGCAATGATCTGCCAACGTTAAGGGCCATAAAGCAAGCACACAAGGATATCAATCTGAATTCTGTTATCAGTGCATTTTATAACTCTTAGGACCTAATGGGGGGAAGAATATGGGAAGGTGAAGTATCTTAATAAATCTGGTGATTTACCAAAATCTCTCTCCCAGTGTACGTGTTTTTGTGACTTAAACACCTGAGAGGACCCAATGATGTTTGTGTATTACATAAATCATGCTGTTAAATAATAGTTCCGTGCAAAAGGTTACATCATATGTAAATGTTTTACTGTAAACAGTATGTAATTAATTATTATTATTATTATTATCATTATTGTAGGTTTTCAGGAACTGTTGCAAAAACCAAGCAGCTCGAAAAGAGGTTCCCAAAAAAATGAATTTGATTTCATTTTTATTATTTAGTTGTCCAAGAGATGTAGATTCTAAAACCATGGCTAGGAAAAGTCATGTCAGTTCCTATTTCTGCCAGAGAGAGGGGAGTTGGTCCTAAAGCTTGCCGCTGTATTCAAACCCTCCACCTGAAAGAAGGAGCCACATTCAGCTGAGAGTGAGACTACAGATGGAGTGTGTAGGGGTCGCTATGCAATCAAGTCTGATGCAACCAAACATTTCAAGACATAGGGTTCCATTCTGAAATACCTTGAAAAATACACATTTGAGTCTTTGAAGGACATCAATGATAAATTGAAGAACCGGTCAAACTTGGCTGCCATTGTAAACTAATCAATTAAAGGGGACCTATCATGCAAAATGCACTTTGTGATGTCTTTTATACATGAATATGTGTCCCCGGTGTGTCAGGGAACTCACAAAGTGTCAGAAAACAAAACCCTCTCTCTTTTCCTCCGTACCCAAATCTAAAAAAAAAAACTAAAAAAAAACGGGGGTGCTAACAAGCAGCTAACAAGCAGATCCAGAATTTTCGCTCCTATTACGCCATTGGCGACATCCGGCACACGTGACACGTCTCAACCTATCATCTCTGTATACACTTAGAGTAAAGTTGTTATATATAATACATATAATGGCACTGTTCTAGCGGTAAACACTTAAGAAAGAACATGTCAATGTGATGACATGTCATGCTATGTGCTGTATCAGAAACAATGCGCGGTGTGTTTCGGGAGTAATATGCTCTGTGTTTACATTAGCAAGCATGCTAACACTCAGAGCTAACGCTGTAGGCTACTGGAGAGAATATGTGTAACGTAATGCCCTTGTGGCAGGCCCGGTTCCAGAACAAAATGACTCAGGGTGCATCTGAGATTAGAGAGGGTGCAGGGGTAAAGTGCTATTTTTATAAGTGGGGAGTGGACCTAACACCCTCTAGGGGGGTCCTCACCTCCTCTAGGAGGGTCCTCACCTCCTCTAGGGGGTCCGGGGGCATGCTCCCCCGGGAAGATTTTTTTTTAAATATTGAAGTTAAAAGCATCAATCTGGTGCACTTTGAGAGCAACATTAATGGCGCCTTTCCACTGCAGGCCTCGCTCGGCCTCGCTCGGTTTGGTTAGGCCTTATTAGGCCCGGCTCACTTTAATGCTGCGCTTCCATTACAGTTTAGGAACTGGGGCAGTTACTATGGTAACGCAGTGTAGGCGGAGCTGTGACGTCATCTTCAATGAGAGCCCCAGAAAAACAACACAGCCGTTAGCTCTTAGCACTCAGAGCTCACAGCTCCTCATATCTGTTCAGAAACTAGACAAAAGTTAAACAAGTACAAACCACAGACTGCCTGTGTCATGGCGAATACAGTCGCTGGTTTATTTATGTCTGTATAGGCCATTGTTGTGAGTGTGGACGGTCGGAGCATATATAACGTTAGCTTAGCCAAGCTACATTTAGAAAACACGCATTTTAAAAGGGTTTTTCGCCTGCCGTCTGTCTGTAGACTTGTCAAAGCATTAATTCATGGTTTTTACTAACCGGTATCAGTATGTTGTTACTTCGGCATCATTTTGAAACGTGTATTACCATTAAATCACGGTCAAATATGTTCATCTTGTTGTAGTTGTAGTCCCCTTGCCAGCGATTCTCTCTCTAGTTCAGCATACTCAGCCCGACTCAGCCTGGTTGTTCCTGGCCCTAGAACCACGATTTAGGCCAAGTGGAAACGCAACCAAAAACGGGCCCCGCACGGCTCGGCACGCTTAAAGCGAGCTACCCGCTGCAGTGGAAACGCGCCATAAGAGATCTATGGATCTATGTGCTCTTTGCTTGATTCATGCCTTCCCAGTCCCTTATCACGTAGCCTATAAGAGCATGGCGCCAGTTGTTGTAGCCAGCTGTGGTGAAGGCATCTGACTTACTTGAACCGAAATGTCTACATGCATAGCAGAAGAGGGCATCTTTTTGACATGAATATTCCAGCCAATCTCTGTTTTGAAATGAGCGCCTTACCCCACTGTACAGGCGAGTTGGGTGCTCCTTTAAATATACCTGGGCAGGCTCTGTTTTGCCGAGGTCTTCTGGCACTTGCGGGCCGCTGAGGGGTGGCGGCGTTTGGGGCAACGAAGACGGCTGCGGCTGCTCCGCCTCCGTGGGCGAGGCGGGCAAAGCCGGCGAGTCGGGCGTTAGTGTCCACGACAGTGGCCGCGGGTAACGTAATGTCCTCATGATCTGAACTGTTATTACCTGCAGTAGATGCAGTGTTACTGCTGGCTATAAGGGCTGGTTGTTTTAACCATTTTCTGATGTCCATCATTGACTGCTGTGTAAGCACCTTGCAGATGACGAACGCGCAGCGGCACAGGTCAAACACCTGACATATTAACGTTACTTACCGTTTAAATTGACCAAATAAATGCAGCAGACAATGTTATTTAACCACAATTACAATTTATTTAATTTCAACTAAATTCTTCTTCTTATTATTATTACTACTATTATTATTATTATATATGTAATATCTTTCACTTTTTTTTTTTTTACTTTTCAAATGAGGGTGCATAACGACTCAACTGAGGGTGCAATGCACCCTTATGCACCCCCGTAGAACCGGGCCTGCCTTGTGGTAAACCCTGCGAGAGAGAGAAAGGTTTGAGCTCAGAAATAATGGTTGAAGTGGTTGGGAACATAATATTGCATTTCATCACGGCAGCGTTTTGCTGAGTTTCTCCTGGTAGAAAACTCTCTTAGTTGAGGAAAGCGGCGTGAATCTACAAAGGGGCGTGGCTAGCAGCAGCCATTCCATTTAAAGCAGAATCAGCCTTTTTGGAACAGGGCTGGGATAGAGGGGTATGAGCAGTATGAGGCATGGTTACCAACCTACGAATCTTCGGGGACAGAGCCTTCAGTGTGGCAGCCCCCACCCTCTGGAACGCTCTCCCTGCTGAGATCCGCAACATCCCCACGCTTGACGCCTTCAAAAGGGCCCTCAAGTCCTATCTGTTTGCTAAGGCCTTTGGCCCCAAATCTATTTGTTGTTTTGTCTGTCTGACTGTTTGTCTGACTGCCTTTTGTTATGTTTGTTTCTACTCCTGTTCTTCTCTGTAAAGCGACCTTGGGTCTCATGAAAGGCGCTATATAAATCCAAGCTATTATTATTATTATTATTACAATGGGTGATTTTTGGTATTTTAAGCAAAACACTTCACAGACATGTTTTGTATAGGTATAATAATAATAATAATACATTTTATTTCTATAGCGCTTTTCTTGAACCCAAAGACGCTTAAATGGCGTATGGCCCTACAATATATTTTTCAAATATAGCATAATAGGTCCACTTTAAGCAAAATCCAGAGAACAAAGCTTAAACCTGCACCTTCCCCCAGAAGTGTTCCTCACAGACGCACTTGGAACTGATCCGTCTCGTACCTGCTTCAGGGAAACGATGCCCTCCCTGCGCTCAGCGTCAGTGGTGATGGTGAAGATGGCCGCTGCATCAGCATTAGTTATTCTGTAGGTCATCTCAGCGTTCTGCCCCTCATCTTGATCGCTGGCTCTGATCCGACCCACTGCCTTCCCTACCGGAGCCAGCTCTGGAACATACAGCTGGTAGCTTCCTGCAACAGCAACACCATGTTTATTTATATTCTGCTCATTAAACCCCAGTAAGCACATGATCACATCATGGAAACCTGATGAAGATGCTCCATGTTCTCTCCTTGGTTTTCTATGTGGAAATGTTGTGTGTGCTCACCATGTCTACGTATTACATTTTCTTTGGAAATGGGATACACATATCAGATGTGTGATGGTGTATGACTGGGTTTCTTTTTCCTTTTGTCAGAGCCCCGACATTTTGTTTGGCTACTATTTCTATATAATGGGAAAACATCACATCCCTTGACATGTTCACTACTTCATTGGCATAATACTGTATTCATGCTGGCCTAAATTGTAAAACATGATATGTGTGTATTTATAGTCACAAAAAGAGTCACATGGGAAGTGTGCCATTTAAAAAAAGTTTAAACTCCAACAGCAGGACTCAACATAATGTCTTTCAGCAGAAGATGAAATCGAAGAACAATTAACAGAAATAAATGACTCTTGAGGATTAGAAGCCTTTAAGTATGTAAACAGCTAGCCAAGGGGAAATATTAAAGCGAAGATATTAGTGTAGCCAGCTGTCGAGATAAGTTAAACCAGAAAAGAGATGATCCTAACCAGAAAATAACTTGTCAGAGCTTCATTCTGTAATAATACATTTACAAGCTCAATACATTTATTAAATATAAGGCAGATTTTCCTGGATTAATGATGACTACTCTGACTCTCAGTCTGACAATGTTTCTGTTTCATGATGAAATCTGAAAGTATGTGATCGGAGTCACTTACTCTGCAGGAACTTTGGAGGGTTGTCATTGACGTCCGTGAGGTTGACGTTGACTGTAGTAGATCCAGACAGTCCTCCAACCGAGCCCGCCATGTCTTTGGCCTGGACCACCACCGCATACTGAACACTGGACTCACGGTCCATGTTGGAGATGGCTGTTCGGATGATTCCTGAGGCAGAGACAAGACAAATAAATCAGTGTTTAAGCAACTTCAGTTAGTTTTATTTTGTTATTACACAGCTCAGTTGAATACTTGATTCTGATTGGTCAATTTGAACATTCCAGAAGTATACTATAGACTGCTGTGAAGAAAAGTAGATTGTTGCCTATCATGGGACTAAAGTATAGTCATATCAATCCGCAGAAAGAAGTCCGGTCAATATAATTTCCGCTGTGGACAACAAACATTCTTGTTTTACATCAGAAAACAACATGGAATACCCTTTTCATTTTATATTTGTGAAGAGCACAGCAGTTTGGATTCATGATGGCTTAACTGTTACCAGCAAAGAAAATAAATACGGGCAAATAGAAGGAAAGAGGTTAAAAGACTCGACGTAGGAGAAATCAACAAAGAGAAGACCGACAGGAAGTGAACACTAAAGGGAACAGTAAAAGAAGAAAGACAGGAAGTAAGGCAAGGCAAGTTGATATAGCACCTTTCAACACAAGGCAATTTAAAGTGCATTACAAAAATGAAAGACATTAAGAAAATGGCATTTAAAAACAGTCATTAAAAAGCAAAGATAATAAAATAAACATTAAAAGAAAAAATACATGGTAGTAGTAAACACTAACAGGAACAGCACAAGAGGACAGACGGGAAGTAAACACTAAAGGGAACAGCAGAAGAAGACAGACAGGAAGTGAACACTAAAAGGAACAGAAGAAGAAGACTGAAAGGAAGTCAACTGTGGTCGTTTCTCAATGTCGAGTACACATGCTGCAGAGCCACTATTTCAAGTATATACTATGTCATCGAGTGGCGCCGAATGCTGGGCATTTAACATGCATTTAAACAGTCCTTCTGCGCCACTCGATGACGTAATATATTTGAAATAGTGGCTCTGCAGCAGGTTTACTCGGCATTGAGAAACGACCACTACAGGAACAGCAGAAGAAGACAGACAGGAAGTAACCCTAACGGAGCGTCCACACAGCAGCGTGCGTTGACGCTTGGCGGTGGGCGTGTCTGAAGCTTGGGGATTTTTTGCGAGCAACGCGACCAACAACCAATCCCATGAATCGCCCGCCCCCGACATACAAAGCAATAGCAATGTTAAGACGAAGTAAACTGGATATAAAATCCCCAAACAGGCGAAAACCTACCAGTTCCACCCACTGTCTCTGCCACCTCCCTCCATGCCTCGCTCCTCCGGTTTGTATCCCGGTAGATGAACAGAGACTGATCATACAGCACCGGGTGATTCACTACCGCTATAATGAATTTTCCCTCCATTTTTTTGAATATGAGGAAATGACCTGCGTAGTCTCTCCCAGCATACACGCGGTTTGATTGGCTAGCGCTTGTACTGGCAGATTTGCATAAACGGGACTTCATTGGCTGACGCCTCCGTCGAGGCATCAAAAGTTGAACATTGCTCAACTTTTGAAGCGAGCAACGCCAGCAACGCTCCACGTTGCTTCCCAAAATGCAGTTCGGCCAAAAGTGACGTCACCCCATTCAAAATGAATGGGCAGAAGCGTTGGAAGCTTCAACGCACGCCGCTGTGTGGACGGGCCGTCAGGGGAACACGGCATGGGCTCTGTCATTGAGTTACTTTTCTTCAGGACACAAAATAATTTGCCTCGCTGAGGGTCTAACCGTGCTTAAAAGCTGGATCTTTTGGAAACATTTGTCAGGACTGGTGCACAATGTGGTATTTTAGGGTTCCTGTGTGGGGAAAAAGCTCTCTAGCGCCCCCTACAAAGTTGCTAAAAGGTAGCCCATTGGTGTACATCAGCACCGAGTGTAGTCTATTCACCTAAACTGGTACACACACACACACACACACACACACACACACACACACACACACACACACACACACACACACACACACACACACACACACACACACACACACACACACACACACACACACACGCGCACACACACACACACACACCCACACACACACACACACACACACCATGTATACATCACTTCAGGGGACATTACATTGACTTACATGCATTTCCTGGAGACTTATCCTAACCTTAACCATAACCAACACATGCCTAACCCTAACCCTTAACCTTACCCTAACCCTAATCCTAACCAAGTCTTCACCCTTAAATTAATGATTCCCCTCATGGGGACCTCCATTTTGTCCCCATAAGGGAGGCGAGTCCCCACACGTGACTATGTAAACAGATTTAGGTCCCCACAAGTATAGTAATGCTAGGCCACACACACACACGCACACACACACACACACACACACACACACACACACACACACACACACACACACACACACACACACACACACACACACACACACACACACACACACACACACACACACACACACACACACACAGGAGTGTTTAGCCTGGAGGCTCTCCGCTGCACTACTCGCTTCAGAGGCTAACAAAGCGCACAGCCATCTGGCCTTATCGGCCCATGTTGACGGAGCAGAGCAGGGAGCAGGACACACAGCACACTGTGCACCTGTATCACAGAGAGGACAGGATAAAAGCAAAGGATTTCCAAATGAATGGAAGGAAGTGGCGTGAGAGAAGGGAGTGGAGGAATTCTGCGTCTCTGGGATGGAGGCATGGATTCATTGACATCATTCAGGACCGAAACTAGTTTCCACTTAGTTTCAGACTAAATGCCAAAACCAATATTTCTGTGCCACTGTGAATTGGACTCAAAGGGATGTATTACATTACATTATTATCGGTTTAGTTGAATACTGAACTCTAATTGGTCAATTTGGACATTTATGTTTCTCGCTAACAGACCGTTGCTAAGGATAATGTGCAGTAAGCCGGTCATCACAGAGAAAGAAACCCTGGCAGGCTTTAGGTTCAATCACCCTGCAGGGGTCAGAGAAAGGAGCTAAATGGAGACAGACCCTCACAGCTTCAGGGCCGGTGCTTTTTATCCAAATGATGATAACTCTTTAGTGGGCTACATCCTATAACAATGCATGAAATGACTAAAACACTGAATGCATAAAAAAGACATGCAGACCTCCAGCATCTTATCGTAGTTAAGTGTGCACGCTAAGCTGTGTTACGGCAGTTTCACATTTTAATATATCTGTAAATATAATTACAAAAAACAAAAACATAACTTTAGCATAGTCAAACTTGATCAATATATATAAAAAAGGGTGGTGGTTATAAATGTTGTAAATGTATTATCTTTTCAATTTACACACGAGAGGGATCCCTCCTCTGTTGCTCTCCCTGAGGTTTCTCCCATTTTTCCCTTTAAACTGTGGGTTTTCTCTGGAAGTTTATCCTTGTACGATGTGAGGGTCTAAGGACAGAGGGTGTCGTATTGTCCTACTGATATTCTGAAAAGTCCACTGAGACAAATGTAACATTTGTGATATTGGGCTATATAAATAAACATTGATTGATTGATTGATTGATTGATGGTTACAACCTCATGGAAATGCATGCTGCAGTCTACTCACCGCATGTGAGCTATAAGGGGGGATGAAGGATGGTGTTTCACAGCACACTGAGCAGTTTGATCCTCCATACAGTACATGATGCAGCTGAGCTCATTCAACCATATGCCACTCAGGGGACAGGACATACATTTTCATGTACATGGTTTCTGCACATGATCCAGCTTCAATCACACTGTCACTGTCACATGAACTCCTGTCACATGCAGTTGTGGATTTGTAATAATGAGTGAATTGCTGACATAAATAAATGTCTACTGGCAAGCTCAACCATTGATTGATATACAAGTGATATAACTTGTGGCTACTTTTTTAGTAGAAGTCATTAACATAAATGTCCTTATTAATTGGTTACAGTTTATGTCATCTTTCAAATAAATAATGAATGTTTAATTCTCCGTAGATAGATTTCTGGCCAATAGGGGCAGAAGAACTCCAAAACAAGCTGACACACATACAGGCCTTATATGTTGCATCAACAGAGAAACTTTGGAATTCAGAAGGACGTTTTGTTTGAGTCTAAATCTTCACTGAAGACACACTTCTTCTCTCTGGCCTTCTAGTCAGAGCTGAGCATGAGCCGAGGCGGTGCCATTCACGTTCGCCATTCACGTTCGCCATTCCAGCGGGACGGATGGCTCCGTTTGCCGTTGTCGGGCACTTCCGGCTCCGGCGTCCATGGAAGTCCACCGGCGGCGGAACGGGTCACCAGGGAGTACCACAGCTTTATAGCTGGGGCCCGCAGCTGATTGCACATCCCCTAACGCAGTGTTATGGGGAATGGAAACGCAGCTGTGTGTTAACGGAGTGGATGGACAGGACGCTGAGACTGGGTTATTCACTCCAGTTTTGCAGCATCCCTCCTCCGTGTGTGTGTGTGTGTGTGTGTGTGTGTGTGTGTCTGTGTGTGTGTGTGTGTGTGTGTGTGTGTGTGTGTGTGTGTGTGTGTGTGTGAGCAAAGGGGCTAAAAAGCAAAACAATGAGCTAGAGGCCAAAGCTTGTTAAATATGCAGATTGGATGAGACCAGAGTAGGTGGAAGTTTTCTGTAGGTTCATCCTTGTTGATGTAATTGAATTGAGGATTGGAGCTTTAAACACATGTATTATTTTTTATATTATCAACAAACATAGAAAAAGAACAATGAATGTATTGTGTTTGTGAAATGCAAACTTTGAAAAAAGCATTAAAAGAGATCTACATGGAAAATCATGAAAGCCCCACTCAGACCCTGACCCCATTCCACTGTTCCCGGCTGACGGACTGCAGGAACAAACTGAACAACGAGTTGAGAAGCCCCCAGAGGACGATAGATATTTATATATAAATCGGTCAATTTGGACATTCCAGAGGCCTGCTATTCTTTTGCCGGCAGACTCCTGCTAAAGACAGCAGACCATTGCCAAGTCTGATCCAGGGACTATGTGCAATCATATCAATCCGCAGAAAGAAGTCTGGTCATTGTAACGTCAGCTGTGGACAACAAACAAACAATTTTTCTCCATCAGAAAATACCAT